AGCTGATTGATGTTTCTCTCTCATCAATGTTTCTAACTCTCTATCCCTCTCCCTTCCTCTCTGTAAGAAATCAATAAAAAGTATTTTTTTAAAAAAACACCCTTATGTAATAATATGAAAAATTTTTTTTCTCCCTTCCTCTCTGTAAGAAATCAATAAAAAGTATTGGAAAAAAAAAACACCCTTATGTAATAATATGAAAAATTTAAAAAAAAATGTAAAGATTGTGCATTTCAACTATGTAAAGAAGAAATTCGAAGGAAAAAGACTGGGAAAGAAATCTGCCCAGAGGACGGTGCCTGTGTGTGGACATATGGTGTTGGCATCCCAGGGGGTGCGGCAGGGGCTGCAGCCGGGCTGTTCATGCTTTGTTTGCTGCTTTATACTTTCCTTCACCTCCCCAAACTTTAAAAACAAGCAGGTATTACTCTGATCATTTAAAAAACTGCCCCTCTGGCTAGACAAAGCCTCTTGCTGCCAGTGCCCAGGGCTGAGAAGTCCCAGGTCCAGAGGCCAGGGAAGGGGCCTAGCAGCTGCTCCTGCGTTTCCTTTATTAAAAAAAAAAAGAAAGAAAGAAATGAGGCCTGGCCGGCGTGGCTCAGTGGTTGAGCGTCAACCTATGAACAAGGAGATCACGGTTCAATTGGGGCGTATGCCTGGGTTTCGGGCTCGATCCCCAATGTGGGGCATGCAGGAGGCAGCCGACTCGTCAACCTATGAACAAGGAGATCACGGTTCAATTGGGCGTACGCCTGGGTTTCGGGCTCGATCCCAAATGTGGGGCATGCAGGAGGCAGCCGACTAATAATTATCTCTCATCATTAATGTCTCTCTCTCTCTCTCTCTCTCTCTCTCTCTCTCTCTCTCCCTTCCTCTCTGAAATCAATAAAAATATATTTTAAAAATAATTGAGGCCTGGCCGGCGTGGCTCAGTGGTGGTTGAGCATCAACCTATGAACCAGGAGATTATATACAGTTTGATTCCCGATCAAGACACATGCCTGGGTTTCGGGCTCACTCCCCAGTAGGGGGCGTGCAAGAGGCCACCAATCAGTGGTTCTCTTGTTTCTCTCTCTCCCTCTCTCTCCCTTTCGGAAGTCAATAAAAACACATTTTTTAAAAAATTGAGGACTCCCCCACAGATCTGAGAGGAGTGGACCTGGACCTGCTCCAGTTTTTACTTCAGTTTTAAAAAACCATCTAAGTTTTGACACTGAGTCCCACATAGAAATTTTTTAGTTTGTCTTTGGTCAGTGGGAGAGAAAAGCTAACATCTGTTGATCGCGTTCTGTGTTTCAGGTACTGCATTTAGAACGTGCATATATTAAAACAGCTTTTTAAATGTTTAAAAAACACGGTCACACGTCCCTGTATCATTAGCGCCCCTTCCTGTCCCTGTCCCTCCGTGTGCCTCTTACGAAGTCCACACGTCGCTCCCTGTCACCTCCTCAGGGTTTCAGTGTGGAAAGGGCTCCCCAGAGAAGGAGGCGGAACTAAAACGCACCCCATGTCCATCTCTCGGAGCCGCACACGGAGGCGGGCACTGATTACTCTTGGGAATCCACTGGAAGTGACACTCCAGGATTGCGCCCAACTCTCTGGGTTCCCCTTCCTCTTCATAGAAACATAACACTCATGAGTTCAACATTGTCATCTGCATTTGGTCAATTCTGAGGCTCAGAGAGGCGCCGGGGAGTGAGCGGGCAGGACGGGAACCCGGGTCTGCGCGACTCTGAGCGCATGTGGATTGCACGGTGCTGTGAGCCCCCCTTGTTGGGTGTACGCTTGTGCGTGGAATCCAGTGTAGCTCCTCCTACCAGGGAATGGAGAAGGGAATGTCCACTTTGAAGCACCTTCTACTTACTGGGCACTTTACCTACATAGTATCTCCATGATCCTGACAATCCCGTGAACGTCTCTTGCGATGGCCCACGTGTGGGTATAACGTGTTGGGACCACAGGCACGTTGAGGGGGAGGGGCGTCAGGCAGAAAGCAGCAAGCAACCTCGTCTTGAGAAGCAGGGAGGAGGCAGAGGGGCAGGGATCACTCCAGATCTGGCCAGTGACACAGCCACCAACTAACCCGGAGATTCCTGGAATCACTGCTCCTGTCCTGGGCGCTCCATTCAAGTGCAGGACCCAGAACTGCGCTCACTGACACGAGAGCCAGAGCAGCCGGCCACCACTAGGTGGCCCCAAAGCACAGCCAGGACCGGACCCTTTCTCACGAGTAAGCAGACTCTGGTTTAGCAGAGTTACGGGCACTGTCCAATGTGGCAGCCATGAGCCACATGTGGCTAAATTTAAACTTTAATTAAAGTGAGATGTAATAAAATGTCAGCTTCTCAGTCACCATAGCCACATTTCCAGTGCTCAACAGCCACACATGGCCACTGGCTGCCACATGGGACCACGTGAGTCTAGAGTTCGTAAAAGCCGCCAAAGACCTGGAGGCCAAATGAAGGTAGAGAGGGGCGGACGGAGAGGCAGCTGCAGGGCCACGGACACATTCCCAGCCGGTGGCATCGGGTCCCTGGGATGCTCCCCACGGAGCACGCGTCTGGGCTCTGCTCTCTAGATTTCAGGGATCAGGATCTCTGCCGGGGGAGCCGGGCGTCTGCATCATGATAGGCTCCTCGAGACTGTGACTGATGCACGGTAGAGGGTG